TTATTATTGAACTAAGATGGTATTTTATGAAAGATTCAAATGAAGATCTTAGTTTTTCGATGGAAGTGAGCGCCGATTTTGTTCATTTTCAAATTTTAAAAAAATAGCATTGTAGATATGCTTGATAAATTTTTGTAAAAATAATTGTTTTTGTTTTCGTTTCATAATTATATTTTAATACTTTATTTTTGAACTTCAATTTATTTACACATACGCACCGTCTGTACATGTAAGCATGGTACAAAATACTGAATATTAATTATTTTCTTAATAAATGAGTTTTATCTTCATAGTTCATTTTTCAGTTTAGATTTTATCTGTTCCCTTAAAATTCGCTTTATTGGGACAACCGATTAATTGGGACAAATTACTTAGGTCCTGATATGTCGTAATTAAACGGAATCGACTACATTGTAAATATATTTACGTTTTTTTTCTTTATCATCTTCTTACAAAGAGAAGTTTTAAATTACGTTTTAGAATATTAAATTCATACTGTTTAAGAAATGGACTGCCTGAATACTTTAAAATTTGTAAACGAATGTTTTAAATTTAAGAGTGAGTGCATGTCGTTGCTAAGAACTAGCGCAAAAATTTAAATAAATAAATAAAAGGAAGAGAGTCGAAAACTATAATAATAAACAATGAGAATAAACAAGTACAGTAATACCCCGACTTACGCGAACCCGGAGTACGCGATTTTCAAATCTCGTCGATTCGTCTTTTGTTTGAGCGCCACGCAACCCTTGATTACTCACTCCCCCCACACTATTGTTCAGCTTACATGTTCGGATGTGTCGCGCGGAATCCACACATAGCTACAGTTTATTTTGTGTTATTTATTTCTGTGTTTGTTATATCTACGGAGACTCGAGAGACTCTACTATGTCATCCAAACGAAGTAGAACTAATTCTTCTGCATCAAACAAGAAAAGAAAAACTTTATCTTTGGAATGTAAAGTTAACGTTAAGTATGTTCGTAAAGTCGAACGAATTAAGCGAGAATGAAGTCATCGTTATTTCTATTTCTTTAGACTTTTCGAACGATTCGTTACTAACGCGTTTAACTCGTTTGACTTTACGAACGTACTTATTATTAAAGACTTCGATACAAAAATGAAAATTTGTGAATTGGCAAAGAAGTTTGATCTACCGGAATTGTCGGTCAGAACAATTATAAAAAACAAAGAAAAAATTCTCGAAGCTGTGAAAAATGCTCAATCTTTAAATTCAAGCATCATTCGTAAACGTCACAGTATTATCGCTGAGATGTTAAAACTATGACGTAATAATCAAGTAAATGTGAAAAATTGTAAAATAATATAGGCCTAATTTGTTATACATATGTATTATCTAAGATTTTATTAAACATTTTTTTCTAAATTATTGTTTTCTTTAGTCTCCGGCCCCAATTAAAAATTATTTGTATGTATTTA